TAGAACTGAACTAGAACTGAACTAGAACTGAACTAGAACTGAACTAGAACTGAACTAGAACTGAACTAGAACTGAACTAGAACTGAACCAGAACTGAACTAGAACTGAACTAGAACTGAACAAGAACTGAACTAGAACAGAACTAGAACTGAACTAGAACTGAAGTAGAACTGAACTAGAGCTAGAACTGAACTAGAACTGAACTAGAACTGAACTAGAACTGAACTGGAACTGAACTAGAACTGAACTAGAACTGAACTAGAACTGAACTAGAACTGAACCAGAACTGAACTAGAACTGAACTAGAACTGAACTAGAACTGAACTACAACTGAACTAGAACTGAACTAAAACTGAAATAGAACTAGAACTTAACTAGATCTGAACTATAACTGAATGGGAACTAGTTCTGTATTTTAAGTTGGTATCTACAATTTCATCAAATATCCAATCACCAGCATACAGCTGTTTGTGAATTGACAGATGTCAGCTGTCATTAAAAAGTTCTTTTATAATAATTGCAATTTTTTCAAAATATTTCCGAAATCCAGATTGGAACCAAAAGTAAATATATTTATCTGTTTATAACAAATCTCTAAACAGAAATCTACCTGTTTCTATGGCCTTCAAGCGAAACTCTTAACGTTCGGATTTGTTTATCAACATAAATAAATTTTATTTGAATTTTAACAATTTTTTCCGTAATTATTTTTGTATAAACATTTTGAACATGTTTATAGTAATAGTTTTTTTTTCGTACATACATATAAACAAATAGTAAATAATTAATCATTATTTATAAATCATTTTCAATCATTTCTATTACATCATTTTATAAAATTTAAAGAATTTGTGAAATATATTTTTTTAGTTTATTTTCTATTTTTATCTATATTTTGGCAAAATTTTGCTTAAGTTTATTTTTTGGCAATAATATTTTAGGTTTTTTTATCTTTTGCAAACATTTTTATGAAATTTAAATGTGTTTTTTTTAGGATTTGTAAGAATAAACGTAATAAGTATTACAAGGTCGAAGAAAATTTTAAAAAATAAAATAAAAATAAGTTTTAATTAATAAAATAACTATAACTGAAGTAAATATGACTAAATTTTAGATTCTACAACAAACTCTTAACTAATTTAGTTTCATAGGCGGCTAAAAAGATAAAAATTTTAACTTGAGTACTTTTTTGTTTGAAGCCAAATTATATGTTTGGCTTAAACAAACTACTACCTCAACTTACTCTCATGAATTTAGCAGAGCTTGTCAGTCCGTCCGACAACAGACTGACTGTCGGTACATGTGTGTATAATTTCAAAGCCATTAAAAACACGACCCAAAAGAAACTGAAGTTTTTTTTAACAAAAAGCGCGTTTATTTTATTTTGATCAAATTCAATGCTAACAATGACCTTGAACTGTATGTGTTTGTATAATATAGAAGTAAAATTTTTAACACAAAAAAATACTTTTGTTTTTATTTTAAAATTAAGTTAGAATTTAGAAAAATTTTTAAACCGGCCTTATTGAAAACTTGTTTTTTGATATTGAGTTTAAGCCAAAAAAAAAACTCTCAAAGAGCGAAAACTTCCAAAACTTCCTTGAGATCTATATCAGCAGTTTTATTAGCGTACTTTTTGAAAAACGAAGAAAAAACGAGAAACAAGTTTTTTCGAGTTGCTTTTTGTTTAAATTTGAATTCTTTAAGAAGTCATTTCTTTTTATAAATTTAATTTTTTTTTTATTTATTATGCAAAAGGTGTGTTTTGGCTCGAATGTTAAATGTTATAACAATCGAACATGAATTAAAAGTAGATTAAAGTTTGAACACGAATGAAAAGTTATGATCAAAGTACAAATACATGATCGCATGAACATTTGTTATAAAAACTGAACGGATTTACCGGTTTTTTATTAAATGAGCTTTCGTTTCGAATGCAATGTTCAATAGCGTTATCCACAAGATTTCGCATACAATGATCTCGTTACAAAATTACGATCAATTTTACTCGATCTTGTTATTTTAGCCTACCGAAACTTTAAATAATTTTAAAAATTTCAGTACAAATGAGCAGTCGTTCAATATTATTTTAAATGCTACTTCTCGGTTAAGTGATGTTTAAACAAATTGTGACTCACTGTTGCGTGAAAACCCCCCTTTTGATAAATAAACAAAGTTTAAAACCTCTAATATTTATCTCTCAAATAGAAAACTCTTTAAAGTTTAATTATCTAATTTGGTAAATATTTGAATTTTCGATCGTGTTAAAAATTGTTTATTTTAACAATTAAAACTATTTATACCCACATCGCTATATTAGTAGCGAAGGTATTAAACCTTTAGTGCTGACGTTTGACTGGTATATAGTCTGGTCTAGGTTCTAGTCTGTAGCATGGACTATATTCTAGTTTATAGTATAGTTTAAAGTCTAGTCTATAGACTAATCTATTGTCTGGTCTACAGTCTAGTTTATAGTCTATAGTCTAGTCTAGTTTATAGTCTAGTCTATAGTCTAGTCTATAGTCTAGTCTATAGTCTAGTCTATAGTCTAGTCTATAGTCTAGTCTATAGTCTAGTCTATAGTCTAGTCTATAGTCTAGTCTATAGTCTAGTCTATAGTCTAGTCTATAGTCTAGTCTATAGTCTAGTCTATAGTCTAGTCTATAGTCTAGTCTATAGTCTAGTCTATAGTCTAGTCTATAGTCTAGTCTATAGTCTAGTCTATAGTCTAGTCTATAGTCTAGTCTATAGTCTAGTCTATAGTCTAGTCTATAGTCTAGTCTATAGTCTAGTCTATAGTCTAGTCTATAGTCTAGTCTATAGTCTAGTCTATAGTCTAGTCTATAGTCTAGTCTATAGTCTAGTCTATAGTCTAGTCTATAGTCTAGTCTATAGTCTAGTCTATAGTCTAGTCTATAGTCTAGTCTATAGTCTAGTCATAGTCTAGTCTATAGTCTAGTCTATAGTCTAGTCTATAGTCTAGTCTATAGTCTAGTCTATAGTCTAGTCTAGTCTATAGTCTAGTCTATAGTCTAGTCTATAGTCTAGTCTATAGTCTAGTCTATAGTCTAGTCTATAGTCTAGTCTATAGTCTAGTCTAGTCTATAGTCTAGTCTATAGTCTAGGCTATAGTCTAGTCTATAGTCTAGTCTATAGTCTAGTCTATAGTCTAGTCTATAGTCTAGTCTATAGTCTAGTCTAGTCTAGTCTATAGTCTAGTCTATAGTCTAGTCTATAGTCTAGTCTATAGTCTAGTCTATAGTCTAGTCTATAGTCTAGTCTATAGTCTAGTCTATAGTCTGTCTATATAGTCTAGTCTATAGTCTAGTCTATAGTCTAGTCTATAGTATAGTCTATAGTCTAGTCTATAGTCTAGTCTATAGTCAGTCTATAGTCTAGTCTATAGTCTAGTCTATAGTCTAGTCTATAGTCTAGTCTATAGTAGTCTATAGTCTAGTCTATAGTCTAGTCTATAGTCTAGTCTATAGTCTAGTCTATAGTCTAGTCTATAGTTAGTCTATAGTTCTAGTCTATAGTCTAGTCTATAGTCTAGTCTATAGTCTAGTCTATAGTCTAGTATAGGTCTAGTCTATAGTCTAGTCTATAGTCTAGTCTATAGTCTAGTCTATAGTCTAGTCTATAGTCTAGTCTATAGTCTAGTCCTATAGTCTAGTCTAGTCTAGTCTATAGTCTAGTCTATAGTCTAGTCTATAGTCTAGTCTATAGTCTAGTCTATAGTCTAGTCTATAGTCTAGTCTATAGTCTAGTCTATAGTCTAGTCTATAGTCTAGTCTATAGTCTAGTCTATAGTCTAGTCTATAGTCTAGTCTATAGTCTAGTCTATAGTCTAAGTCTATAGTCTAGTCTATAGTCTAGTCTATAGTCTAGTCTATAGTCTAGTCTATAGTCTAGTTTATAGTCTAGTCTATAGTCTAGTCTATAGTCTAGTCTATAGTCTAGTCTATAGTCTAGTCTATAGTCTAGTCTATAGTCTAGTCTATAGTCTAGTCTAGTCTAGTCTATAGTCTAGTCTATAGTCTAGTCTATAGTCTAGTCTATAATCTAGTCTAGTCTATAGTCTATCCTATAGTCAAATCTATGTTCTAGTTTATAGTCTATATGGACTAGTCTACAGCCAAGTCTATATTCGAGTCTATAGTTTGGACTTTTTTAGTTTAGTCTGTAGTCTAATCTATAGGGTATCATATTGTCGGTATTGCTCAATCATCATGTGTTATTTGTTTATTAAATAAAGTCAATAAATAATAGTTAAATTTTGTTTACTACTGATTATATTTTGAAAAGCTTTTACCACTTTGGCCCAAAATAAAAAGGAACGAAAACTTAACACTGGGGCCAAAACATTTTAAATTGTCGAAAATCTAACATCATTTATTAAATTCACATGTCAAATACGTTCCGTTTGGAGTGAAGAAAATCGAGAGAAAAAAGTCAAGCAAGACAAGAAAAACAAACATTAAGCCGCTTAAGAAATAGAATAAGATGATGATGATGAAAAAAATGGCAGGAAACTAAATAGAAGAAAAATTTGTTTGAAACTTATTAGCAGAAGCGTGGGTATGCAGAAAGCGTCAGATTTGAAATAGCCACCATTAGGCACCAAATACTTATAAATAAATTTCTTTCAAATCTGATAGTCTCACAAAAATTCTGAACATAATTTTGATCACGTGCCGTATATAACCCACTTCAGCTCCCAGAGCCAACAACTAAACAAAACTACTCTCAAGTCAATTTTTCTTAAATAAATGACATTCAAAACTAACAAAGCGATTCATTATAGCTTTCAAACAAGAAAATTTTCAAAAAACTTTAACAGCACTAAATCAAAGTCACAACCAACTTTTAAAATAAATCAAGAAAATTTCTAAATTCTTTAACAAAAACTTAAAATTATAATAAATCTCTAAACTTTTCAATCAAGACTTTTGAATTTTCCTTTTTTTTAGGCAAAATATTAATTTGTTTTAACAACTTACTTGCAATAGAGCAATGACCAACTGTATGGGACCGCAACGTACCACCACTGTTCCTATAGTAGTGGCGCGTAAACTGTGTGATGATGTACTAGCACCACTGCCCAAAGTATCATTATGATTATGATTGGAAGGCATCAATTGTCCACCACCAGCTCCACTGGGAGTGGGTGATGGTGCTGTCGATGATGTGGGATAATGATAGTTAGAGGGCTCCAGCTGACGTGAGGGTGTTTGTGAAACATTTGAACCCGAATACAGGGATGACATTGATGAATCCAATGTCCGATGACGTTCCATTTTTGTTTAATTTATAATATTTTTTTTAATTTGTCCTCTTAAGACTTCCAATGTTTTTAGAACACGTGTGTGTGTGTGGGGGGGGGGGGGGGGGGGGGGTGGTTGGGTTAGTATCCTTTTTTCGCGTGCGTTTTATTCTTTTTATTACAATTTTAAAATTTTAATATTTTCGTTTCGTTTTATACTTTAATTGAGTTTTTTCATTGAACACTTTTTTATACTATTTGTGGAAATAGAGGATATTTTTTTAGTATTTTTAAAAATACCTGCATTTTATTTAAAAATGCATGTATTTAATTAAATAATTATTATTGAAATGTTTAAAATTTAAGGTCATTATAACAATATTTACGTTTATTTGATTATAGTTATCTAAACTAAATAGGATGACCAGTTTCATTTGTAAACATAGAAAATATATAATTTCGAAAATAACTCATATCTGAAAAAGTTTTGTTCTAGTCTATAGTATAGTCTATAGTATAGTCTATAGTATAGTCTATAGTATAGTCTATAGTATAGTCTATAGTCTAGTCTATAGTATAGTATATAGTATAGTCTATAGTATAGTCTATAGTATAGTCTATAGTATAGTCTATAGTATAGTCAATAGTATAGTCTTTAGTATAGTCTTTAGTATAGTCTATAGTATAGTCTAAGTATAGTCTATAGTATAGTCTATAGTATAGTCTATAGTATAGTCTTTAGTATAGTCTATAGTATAGTCTATAGTATAGTCTATAGTATAGTCTATAGTATAGTCTATAGTATAGTCTATAGTATAGTCTATAGTATAGTCTATAGTATAGTCTATAGTATAGTCTATAGTATAGTCTATAGTATAGTCTATAGTATAGTCCAACGGTTCCCAAATGGGGGTCCGTGGACCCCTAGTGGTCCGTAGTAAAATCCTAGGGGGTCCGCGAAGACAAACGAAAAAAGCCATGAATAAACAATATTGTATCACTTTTATAAAGTAAGATATTGCCTGATATGTACATAATTTTTATTTCCTGTATATGTAGTGAAACAATGTTTTTCTATTTCAGACGGATAATGATCTGTCTTACAATTAAATAAGGGATACTGGTATTCCGGAGTATGAAGTTAGGCCACATTTCATAATTCAAAGACAAGCTTATACCAGATTTAAGTTTGTCAAATTGTAAGCAAAAGTGTTCTTGTTTGTAAGGACTAAAATTATATATTTCAAAAACTGAGGTGACTCTTTATGTACCTTCAATACGTTAATTTAGCTAAATTTAACTTGATTTTATCGACCAATATTAAATTAACATCAGAATATATTAAATTAACATCAGAAAATCCATATCGTTTCGAGTAAATATGTAGGCAAAACCATGCAGTAAAAGAGTTCATGTCATATATTATGCGGATAACGTATTCCGCAACAACATGGAAGAAGTCCAACTTTCTTATATTATTTTCCCGAAAAATTAGCTCACTTTACCCCTCTGCAATCGCAATAAATTTTTGAAACGTGACTCCTTAAGCACATGTCGACAATATTTGATAAAGAAACCTTTTTGCTACCTTGAATTAAAATGAACATGAAAGGTCTCACGATCATAAAATTAAACATCATTTTAACATTTCAACAAAGAAGTCTTTCTATCTTCAAAACCATGCAATTAAAAACCTCTCGGGAATATTTTATAGATATGACATCTCTACATTTATTTGACCTAGGGATTTATGGACTAGGTTAATTTTCGGACGAACAATTATTTAGTACAATAAGATATCAAAATATGTATGGAGGTCCGCGAAATTAAATAAGTTCCTCAAGGGGTCCGCGAAGTAAAAACCGGTGGGAACCGCTGGTATAGTCTATAGTATAGTCTATAGTATAGTCTATAGTATAGTCTATAGTATAGTCAATAGTGTAGTCTTTAGTATAGTCTATAGTATAGTCTAAGTATAGTCTATAGTATAGTCTATAGTATAGTCTATAGTATAGTCTATAGTATAGTCTATAGTATAGTCTATAGTATAGTCTATAGTATAGTCTATAGTATAGTCTATAGTATAGTCTATAGTATAGTCTATAGTATAGTCTATAGTATAGTCTATAGTATAGTCTATAGTATAGTCTATAGTACAGTCTATAGTATAGTCTATAGTATAGTCTATAGTATAGTCTATGGTATAGTCTATAGTCTAGTCTATGGTATAGTCTATAATCTAGTCTATAGTCTAGGCTATAGTCTAGGCTATAGTCTAGTCTATAGTCTAGTCTATAGTCTAGTCTATAGTCTAGTCTATAGTCTAGTCTATAGTCTAGCCTATAGTCTAGTCTATAGTCTAGTCTATAGTCTAGTCTATAGTCTAGTCTATAGTCTAGTCTAGTCTAGTCTATAGTCTAGTCTATAGTCTAGTCTATAGTCTAGTCTATAGTCTAGTCTATAGTCTAGTCTATAGTCTAGTCTATAGTCTAGTCTATAGTCTAGTCTATAGTCTAGTCTATAGTCTAGTCTATAGTCTAGTCTATAGTCTAGTCTATAGTCTAGTCTATAGTCTAGTCTATAGTCTAGTCTATAGTCTAGTCTATAGTCTAGTCTATAGTCTAGTCTATAGTCTAGTCTATAGTCTAGTCTATAGTCTAGTCTATAGTCTAGTCTAGTCTAGTCTATAGTCTAGTCTATAGTCTAGTCTATAGTCTAGTCTATAGTCTAGTCTATAGTCTAGTCTATAGTCTAGTCTATAGTCTAGTCTATAGTCTAGTCTATAGTCTAGTCTATAGTCTAGTCTATAGTCTAGTCTATAGTCTAGTCTATAGTCTAGTCTATAGTCTAGTCTATAGTCTAGTCTATAGTCTAGTCTATAGTCTAGTCTATAGTCTAGTCTATAGTCTAGTCTATAGTCTAGTCTATAGTCTAGTCTATAGTCTAGTCTATAGTCTAGTCTATAGTCTAGTCTATAGTCTAGTCTAAGTCTAGTCTATAGTCTCGTCTTAGTCTAGTCTATTAGTCTAGTCTATAGTCTAGTCTATAGTCTAGTCTATAGTCGTAGTCTATAGTTCTAGTCTATAGTTCTAGTTCTATAGTCTAGTCTTATAGTCTAGTCTATAGTCTAGTCTTATAGTCTAGTCTATAGTCTAGTCTAGTTATAGTCTGTTCTATAGTCTAGTCTTGTTAGTCTATAGTCTAGTCTATAGTCTAGTCTATAGTCTAGTCTATAAGTCTAGTCTATAGTCTAGTCTAAGTAGTCTAGTCTATAGTCTAGTCTATAGTTTAGTCTATAGTCTAGTCTATAGTCTAGTCTATAGTCTAGTCTATAGTCTAGTCTATAGTCTAGTCTATAGTCTAGTCTATAGTCTAGTCTATAGTCTAGTCTATAGTCTAGTCTATAGTCTAGTCTATAGTCTAGTCTATAGTCTAGTCTATAGTCTAGTCTATAGTCTAGTCTATAGTCTAGTCTATAGTCTAGTCTATAGTCTAGTCTATAGTCTAGTCTATAGTCTAGTCTATAGTCTAGTCTATAG